CAAACCTCTTCAAGCATGGAGATTGGCAATATGTTTATCGCTGCGCCACCATCGATAAGGACCTTGTTCACCATTTGTCCTTGGATCTCGATGTTTAATAGTAAAGGCTTCAAGTGGAACCTCATTTCTTCGGATGGAGGATCGATGAAGGCAAGCATCTCTATGAGGTATTTCGCATGATGCCTGAGTTACCCATGTTACCTTTGGCCTGATGTTTTCTGAATAGAAGTCATCTTCTCGATTAGCATCACTCGTTCTCGATATTCCTTGTATTCGTTGACATATTCCGCGGGTAATATCGATATCACTCCGATTTGATGTTCGTTCCAGCTTGCCTTCATTCTTATCATCGAAGAATTCCCTTGAATATTGGCTTTCCATAGGTACAATATTCTCTTCAAAATTTCTATAATTACTCCAAGAAGTGGATCCTTCCTCCTCTTCTCCAGGGCCTTCCTCGAATCTTCTTGGGAATGTTGGGAATCCAGTGTTTGATCTTTCATCATATGATAGTCTCTCGAAGACATCATTACTTTGAAGTCTTCCTCTTCCTCCTCGAGAAGGATACATCTCTCTTCTAACCCATTGCCTTTGATTCCCGCTAATACCGTAACCAACAGATTTCGTTGACTTTCTTCGATAGTTGGTCGGGCCGTTTGCTCCACTTTATCATTTTTCCCTTTGTTTAGACTCTCGATCTTCTTTGTTTGTTCAATTTTGAAAGCTTTGGCAGCTGATTTATCGAAAACCGCACCGCACCGTGGGCATAGCGACACGTCTTCGTCTTTCTCTTTCTTCCTATTCAAAAATTCAACGAGGGAGTCTCCTCGCTCGAGGATATATCTCTTTCTCAAATTCTTTTTCGAATTCGTTCAAGTCGAACTCCATATCTTCCTCCGATACGTCCATTCTCGGTATGCTTGGGATCGATGTCTTCAGTAACATCGACCATGCCTATGAAGGTGGCATTCATCGGCCTAACGTCATCCTTCATCTCAGCTTGGGATTCAATATATCCCACTTGGACTTCGAACGGACTCGTGTCCACTTTCATCGATGTCTCTCCAAACTTCAGCCTTCCTTGGTCGATTGCATCTTGAATCGTGTTCCCGAAATGTATACAATTGTTAGTCCGAGTGTCCATAAATATTATGAAATTTACAATATTTTCGACCACCCCTTTGTTCTCGCGTATGCGCTTGTGATCTTCGCTTAACTTAATCTGTTTATCTTTTAGTAGAATGTCGAAGATCTTATCTCGCTTTTGTTACATCGAAAGTATAGGTTCGGTTTGCCATTTTATCTTTCACTTCATTCTTTTGCAACAATTTACAAATATATGGAGCTCCTACTTTGAGCTCTGCTATATTCACTTTCTCATCAACATTTTCCTCGATATCGGCTTCGTCGAGGGATCTACTTCATACACATCATTTATATAGGCTATTCTTTCTTTTTTCATAGGTTTCTCAAATTTCTTGTGCCTTTGCTTTTCATATTCGATTTGTTCTACTCTCCTCACTTTATCGCCTAACCGAGCCATGTCATTTAATGGCAAATTTACCAACTTTTTCCTAATCGAAAATTCTAAACCTGCGTAAGCCATCCCGACTAATTCATATTCGGGAATTTGAGTAAAACATCTTGATTTCATTTGTCTAAATCGATTCGGATAATCATCTATGTTTTCATGATTATATCGTTTTATGTTCATCAAATCAATGAGACTTACTTGAGTTTCTCCTCTAAAGAATTGTTCATGGAAATTTCTTTCTAACTCGCAACCAATTATATATCGAATTGGGCGGCAATGAAGTAAACCAAGTGAAAGCATTCTTAGTCAAGGAACTAGGGAAATACTTCATTTTTAACTCTTCAGCTCATTGCTAAGTCCCCACACTCTATCCGATATCGAGCTACATGCTCGATAGTTGATTCACCAACCTCTCCAGCAAATTTAGTGAATTTGGGTACTTTGTACCCTCGAGGCAATTCTGTCTCGAGAATCGCATTTGGGAAAGGAGACACAAAATATGTCTGATTGGGTGGTCTTACATCCGTCCCTTGGAAATTCATCCTTTGTCCTAACATGTGATTATATTGCATATTATTCTGATTATGAATATTTTGAAATCCCTCATTCAGATTTCCGTAAATATCATTCCTCACATATTGATATTCGTTCCCCATTTGCTGATATTGATCATTGTTCCGATTCCTTCTTAATAAATAAGGGGGATTAATATTCTGATTGGCATGATTCTCAATCCTCGTTTGTCGAGGTATAGCCAATGCGTCTCCAATTCGAGACATTTGATCCGCTAATATCTCGAAACTAGCAGTAGTATTTTGAACTAATGGGTTTAAGACCGTAGTCAACTGCTGTGATAACATATTCACCATTTCAAAATTACTCTCATCCATTTGTTGTCTAAGTATTCCTAGGGAGTTGCTGGAAATCCCCGTATTAGTATTTTCAATATTCTCGAAATTAGATCGATGATAGTCCCTATCAAATGCATATCTCCCATGATCGAGATTCCCCCTAGGATCTAGATTCGGAGGTGTCTGTTGTATCCCCAAGTTTGGTCCATTCCCTGAATTTTGTGATGTCGCTGAATTTTGAGATGCTCCTAAATGTGTAGATACTCCAAAGTTTTGTGGCATGCCTAGGGTTTGAAATGTACCTACGTTTGGAGGCATTCCTAAGCTGAATCGTGAGTTTCTATGTATCGATGAAGTGCCAGTTCCATTCATGTTATTGGATAAGAAACCAGGTGGTCTTACACTAGTATATGGCCCTGCATATGTGGTTATGGGGTTTCCCATAGTTTGCATATTATTTGATATTGCTATACTAGCTCCTACATGGGTGTTTGCCAATGGACCTGGATTTTGTTCATTACTTATTGGTATCGACGTGCTCACAGCTTGTCGACACTACCAGTATACTCCCATTATGCCCTTGCCCTTGCCCCCAGCATTTGGTGGGAGCACACCACTTAGACCCTCATTGTTATTCCGACTACTTGAGGAATTCCGACTCATTCTTATAACTCTCCCACTTCTTAATCTCATACACTCTCGAACTAACCTCTTTTGTGTTTTTTCAACACAAGTCCCCTACCTGGCGCGCCAATTTGTTTCTGGTGGAATTTCGATCGATTTCGATTCTAAGGGTGTTTTGGTCCTAATCAAAATTCTACCACGTAAGTTCTTTTTACTTAGGCTAGCAATTTGATTTTCAATCGAAAACGCGTATGAGAATTGAAAACTACAGGATATCGAAAATGTGGTTTTTGGTATTTTATGTCTAAAATGCTTGACTCAAACAAAACAGTAAAGTATCGAATCGAGCAAAGAGAATATTAAATTGCAAGAAAGTGCGAAAACCCCGAATTTGCAAGAAATTAAGTTTGCGAGATAAATAAAGGACAGGAAATCGAAATGTGCGAGAAATGTAAATTGCTAAAACCCATTAAGATTGCACAAAATTAAATAACAGGAAGTCGAAATATGCGGAAATCGAAATGTGCGAGAAATGTAAATTACTAAAACCCATTAAGATTGCACAAAATTAAATAACAGGAAGTCGAAATATGCGGAAATCGAAATGTGCGAGAAATGTAAATTACTAAAACCCATTAAGATTGCACAAAATTAAATAACAGGAAGTCGAAATATGCGGAAATCGAAATGTGCGAGAAATGTAAATTACTAAAACCCATTAAGATTGCACAAAATTAAATAACAGGAAGTCGAAATATGCGGAAATCGAAATGTGCGAGAAATGTAAATTACTAAAACCCATTAAGATTGCACAAAATTAAATAACAGGAAGTCGAAATATGCGGAAATCGAAATGTGCGAGAAATGTAAATTACTAAAACCCATTAAGATTGCACAAAATTAAATAACAGGAAGTCGAAATATGCGGAAATCGAAATGACATTGAATGAAATATACAAGAATATGAAATTGCTGAATTGGAATGGCTCGAAAGTAAATTACCAAGGAAAATAAAGAAAGCGATAAATGTACTCCGTGAGCGAGGAAATCCAGATTGCCGTAAGCTTCATGGTGTTCGTCGTTTCTCCGTAGACTTTTCACTACCGATTCTCGTTCTCCGCCAATTTCCGCTCTCTTGTTCCTTCCTCCTTTGCTCTATTTATAGGGCATCCTTCAAGCCTTCCGAGAGCAGTTAACGCACTGCTACCACGTTCTTCGTGCGTACGACAGTTTCTTTTTACAGTTTTCCCATGTTCTCACGATCTTCAACTTTTCCATCACTTAGAAACTGCTTTCAATACGTGCGTTTTGACTACTTTCTTTCAAGGTTTAGCCAAGGTTATGATATCTACGAAAACGAGCCTTCCCTTTGATTTAATCGAGAACTTTGCATACCTGGTATCGATTTATTTTAACCTTAACTCCATGTTAAGCTTTTCGACTATTACGCCTACTCTTCCAATTTTACCTTTCGATTTTATGTGTCACGTTCTTTATAATCGGACATCAGGAAAGTTCCCTTTCGATTCATTTCTCGATCAGACTTCTCGATTCCACACTATGACTTAGTCTTTATTTGGCAACAGCCGTTCATTTCTCGATTGTGCTTCTCGATGTTATATGCTACGTGTTTCAATTTGGACATCGAATGAATATTTTGTTTATCTTATCGAGTCATATTTCTTTTCCCTTCGATTCCGATTGTGTTTCTCGATTTGCTACTAACAACGGTATTTGATTTTGTTTTATTGGGTCATAGGATTTACAATTACCACAAAGTATATTTTTAAAACATTAATAATCAGTCAAATTTTTTGAGTTTGAAACTATCATTAATAGTTTTCTAAAACTTATAAAAAAATATCTTAAATTTGTTTGCAGACATTTTAACAACATTGAGTTAAGAATAAAAAAAATGCAAACTTTGATTTTGGGATTTCGGCATATACTTTAGATTAGTCCATGCAATACATGTCATTTCTCAAATATTCTCAATCCTTGAGTGTCAAACCATTACAGAATCGGTTCCAAAACCCAGCAGATGATGGTGGTGCTTGCTCAAGAGGGTCCTTAAATTTTGCTTTCTCACCTAACTCTTCAAAAGAATCCACAAGGTTTTGGAGCCTTGCCACAAACTCAATCAGAAGGGATGTAAAAGTTGCTAGAGACAAAGAACTAGCACTTTCATAGGTTTTAGATTCTTCCTCTTTTGACACTGCATCTTCTTTGAAGGAAATATGAGCAGGCCAAGATATCTGTTTTCTGAACATGTTTTCATCACCAACACCCACAGGCACTGCAGGTGTGTTGTCAGGAGTTGCTTGTTCTCCCCAACCTTTTGGAACTTTGACGGCTCTGAGATCAAGCACAGCTTCACTCAGAGACTTGTACTCCAAAAAGTGTCTTTCTTCATCCACGTTCAAGAGATCTTGAGGATCACCCTCCCCTCTTGGCCGGTTTCCGATTTCCCAGCTCTCTGAATTTACAAGGAGGAAGGATTTTTTGTCAATCTTCTGCTGCAATTCTTCTGCTGCCTCGTGTACTTCATAAAGAATGTCTTCATCGCCTAGTTTCTCCATCTTTTTTACTTTGTTTCCAAGTTCCCTTAGAATTTTCGCCCCCTCACAACCTACCTTCTGAAGCTCCCTTTTAAAGACTTGTCTCTTCTCTGGCGGTGCCTGTTTATCAAAAAAGGGGTTAAATACATGTGTTTGAGAATGAAAATTTCCCAACCATTTAACTTCAAATTATCTGAAAATTAGAGTCTCCTCTATATCCCGGAGAAAGAACCATAAAGTTAATAGACCAAATTCATTGAAATCATGAACAAGAGCAACAATCAGTTCAAACCTTAAAATTATAAAAATGTCATTGTAATCCCCAAATTTGCTAAAATGATAGTCATTTCAGGCACTAAATTAACTAGCAATTATGATTTCAGGGACTAACATCTTACATTACTCAAAAATACAGAGTAAAGGATATTTTAAAAGATATTTCCATGTATCAGAATCCGTTTCTCAGTTGCAGGCTTGTTCCAGTAATCCAATGTTATGAAAACAGATACTACAAAATTCTATGAAAAAACAATCAACAACAATTTCTCCATCAATGACTTAAGTTTGTTTTTAAGATTGGAGAAGATTAAAGAAATAAAGAAGAAAGGTTTCCCATTATTTATCTGTAAGAATCACTTACAACTTACAAGCCTTATATATGACGGCTATACATATAGAAAAAACGGTTAAGATACCTGAAGCAATATTGAACTTTCGACCAAAGTGATTAACAGTGGGTTACAGAAAATGAAGCTTAATTCCAGTGCGTCTGAGTAATTTATTTTTCCGAATTCTAAGGTTTACAATCAGTAGACACTTCTCTATAAAGCCACATGACTAATTTTAATGATTGATCTCAGTTTTGAAAAATAACAAAACTAAGATGCTTTGTTCTCTGATCATAATCAAAGGCTCAGCTGAATAACCAACCTATGCCGAGTGCAAACCTTCATTACATGTATCACAGGGATGAAACTTCAATTTTGATTGGAAAACAGTATCAAAAGTACTTAAGGAACTTCATATAAGTTTTGTTCTTAAGAATAAAACTGTCAAGCGGACCAGTCCAGCCACTTTAGAAAATTGTCATGACTTGGTCTAATTCGTATTCATAGACGTCCCATATTTTCAAACCTGACCTATCCTTAGGTTGGGCCTATGAGTTAACAGGAGATTTTAACATGTTTTAAAAAATAATCTTAATAAAAAATTCTTTAAAATTAAAGTTATATTAATAAAATTAATATTATTTTATAAATCAAACAAATCTATAAACCTATGTATCCGTCCAAATTGAGTTTATTTAGGTCAAAGATAGGTTGAGCGGGATGCTATAGGAATATTTGACACCCCTTATCCTCAAGGTTTGACCCTCACATTGCTACCACCCGGAGTTATTTCTGAATCCATATTTCAATAAACTATCAATTGTTATTTAATACAGTATACAGTTCAAACTCTAAAATTATCTCTTCTCAAAATATTAAACATTTATAACACTCAATAGAACTAACATGTTCCAGTGAAATAACAAACATAGAGGAAAATAAATCAACAATGATAACAAAATTTCAAAAGACAGTTCGACACAAGATCTGCATATTGAAGAAAAAAAAAAAATGACCAAAGTAAATAAAAAAATATTCTAAATACTCGAAGGCTTTGTAACAGAAAAGTTTTAAGAAGTACCTGTATTTCAGAAAGTATACATCCATGCATAGCCATGACCATAAATGCACAATGCCTTAGAGCCCCACTTACTTTCACATAATTTTGCCATGGATATCTAAGCATTTTGTATCTACCATGAGGTGGCTCCCATACAGCAAAACCCATCTTCGATAAGAAGAGTGCGAATCAATGAGTCCAAAGGATTATCAATATTTTTTTGTGAAAGTGAAACAGACCAAAAAAAATGATACCAATGAATCTTCTGTGCTTGTAGATTCAACAGCTGATCTGTAGCCTTTGTAAACCACATCCTCGGCAGCTTGGTATGTAAGAATTTTCGAAGGCACTCTCTCATATTCAACACAATTAAGATAATTATTTACAACACCTGAAAAAGAAGCTCAACAACGTTATTCAACCCAAGAAATAAGATTACGAAGCAGCAACAAAATGTTACTTGTTAGTTGTTGGTAATTCCACAAACAAAATGTGATGATAAAAAAAAAAAATGAAGACAACCTTCCAATGATGCAGCAACGCCCACGAAATTTTTTGCCACAAGATTATGCAGATCCTCACCAGCCCATATTGGATATATACATACATTTATCCCCAGAGCAACAGCAGCACCGAGTGCAATCAGCAAAAATCTATTTATAGCTGTTTGAACAAACTCTCCTGTTCGATACCCTGATACAATAATGTAGCAATAGGTGATCAAGAACACACGGAAACCATATTCATAAGCCTTCATTGTTGGATATTGTTTTGCATATGTGGCACAAAATCCTGCCATTCATACATAATAACACTGTCAGAGAACAATGCATACTAAAAAAGAGAAAAAGTCAGATGAATCTTTATCAACATGATAAGAAATAGAAGTGATTCAAAATCCTGACCTACAGTGAAGATGCTAACAGTTATAATGAGCTCTTCCCATTTTCCAGCCAATTGTGATAAAATTCCCATTCCCAAAGCTAGTCCTCCAGCTAACAAAGTCCCCAATCCTCTGTTAAGCCCTTTGCTAAGAGTTGCTCCTGCAGGAGTAATTATTGCTTATAACTGAATTATTGATGCCTATTTCTCTCTTTACTAAATGAAAAGCATGAAAAATGGAAAAATTACGAATAAATGTTTCACTTCAACAAATGAAAACACGGGGTCCCGCAGCTAAAAACACATGAGAGAATCAATCTGGTTCTTAACAATCACGTCAATTCAATACACCATAGTAATAATTGTCTATTTGGAAAGGAAAAAGTACAAGGAAAGAGGTGTACTTTACCTGTTCAAAAATAACGCCATGATTGTGATGAACATCGTGTATATATATAATGATGAGAGTTTAATTCAGGTATACAAACAATATATTAGTTTTCTACACCAACCCTCAAACAGAAAACATAGACTCATGCATTCAGTGTATTTATGTATATATTATTTATTATTCAACATTTTTTGGTACAGATTTATTTAACTTTAAATTAGTTATAATTTCAACATTTCCTAATCTCATATTAGCGAGCTAAATTCCAAAATATATAAAGGTTAGAGTCAAAATTGTACGATAATTTTGGTGAGGAAATGCCATTTTTTTTTAATTTAAATTTTTTAAGTATAAGACACAGTTGTTCTAAGAGAAATAATATTGTCTTAATCCAATTAGACACTATTATTCAAAACTAAAACTCAATATTAAGTCCAAACAAATCTTAAAAATTTCTGTTTAAAAAATCAAATTCAAATCTTAATAATAAAAAAACCAAAATAAAAAACAAGAAATGAACCGATTAACGTGGGTTAACTAGATTCTCGAGTTTAAGTTAGCAGAATGAATTAACTACATAAGATTAACTATCAAATTTAAATCCTAAGCCGTTGAGTAGTGTGTATTAACTAACATGAAATCCTCGAATTCAAACTTTGACATGTGTTAACTATTCGGACAAAAAACATTGTCCAATAATGTTTTTCATAGATTGGAATGAGATTGCTCCGAAGAATTCTGTGTACTGAAAAAAGGAAAGTGGGTTGAAGGTTGATGATACCTATGCTGAATTCGAAGACAACAACGACAGTGAGAATGGCCCAAACGGAGTAGCGACTAACGTCCTCGAACGGCTTTTTGAGGAAAATCAGAAGCGAAAGGAGAATAAGAGCGAGTCCCATTTTGGCGGAGAATATGATCTTCCTGGGATCAGACATCCCCATCTCCCACGCTCTCGCCGCCACGCGCTTCGCGCTCTTCCACGCGCCAACGATCCCGTCGGAGACAGCGCGGTAGGAGCAGCATCGCCTCCGCGGCCAGTGGTCCTCCTCGTCGGACTCAGGCAGCGCGATCCCAATTTGGGAGTAACCGCCACCCTTCATGGAAAGCAGCCTCTCCTTCTTCTCGGCGAAGCTGTGACGGAAGGAGCCCAGCTTGGGCACCCTCGCCGCCGACCTCATCATATCGGAAGAAAAGAAACGATTTTGGAGTTGGGATTCGGCGGCGGAAGCGTGAAAGAGTGTTTTTGAAACGTGGCGGTGAGGCAATGCTCTGGTAGTTATGTAGTGTTTGTTTGTGGTAATGAAGAGACATCTACAGAACGTGACTTCACGTATACATGGCCAGTTAATCGAATTCTGTAACTGTAATCAATAATATGTCTTCCCTTGTATTTTTATAAATATTAATTAAAATATTTTATGTTTTATGACTTTGTTTCCTATGTTGAAATATTTACATCCTTATAATTTTAAAATAATCCTTATTTATTTATATTATCAGTAACATAACAATTAAATTTTTTATAATTATTAAATAAACATTTACTTCTTTTATGTTTTTATTAATAAACAATACATATATCTTTCATTATATAATAAATGATTTTTCATTTTCTATTGATGTAAAGTATTTAATTAATTGTTAAGGTAGATTTGACTACATTAACTAACAATTTTAAAGTATAGGTTTATTTAAGTAAATATTAAAATAATACTTAATTTTGTTGATGTTAAGTATTTAATTTTTTTTGTTAATGTCAAATTGACTACATTTGATAACATTTTTAAATTTTAAAAATAAATAAATCTATATATTTAATTGAATATATCAAAATCCCTATATATAAAAGAAATAAACTAATTACTTCTAAACTGATACATTTAATAACATGTCTAAATTAACATCAGTAGTTACATATTTAAAAACCAAATGTGAAAGAAAAAATAAAATACAAAATTTAAAATAATAAATACTTTCGTAATAATATTAAATATATATTAATACTTGCATTAAAATTTATTACTTTTAAATTGAATACTTTAAACGTATTCATAAATTATTTATATATGAAAATATACTCTTCTGTCACAAATAAATAATTTACTAATACAAACTCTAGTATGTTTTTTTCTTAAATAGTAAATAATCCTTAGTCAAAAACAATTTTCTCTAAAAATAAATTTTCAACAATGAGAAAATCATTTAACCTTACATTCAACTTATTAACCATTCATTAGAATATTAAAATTGACTTTCTCTATATATTTTATCTGATGTTAGGTTTGATTGTCAACTCTACATTTGGACGAAGAAGAAGAAGAAAACTAGAAAGAAAGTGAAAATAATTTATGTATTAATTAATCTTTTTACTATAAAATATTTTATGAAAACTTTTTTATTTACTTTATATTTTTAACTGATGTTCAAATTGTTTTTAAATTATAAATAAAGTCGTTTTATTTTTTCTTTTATCAAAAAAGATTGATGTGTATTTTCTTCTTTGATTTTTTTTCTTACCAAATCCATAATGCAATTATTAGTAAAAATAACTAAAAAAAACAAATATTTTAGACATTCATAAACATACGCCAAAAATACATTTTCATTGAACTAGAAAATATATATAAAAAAATAAAGTAGACATTTAATTTTCATTGACTTTTCCACGAACATCATTGTCAATATTTAGAAAAATCTCTTCTTCTCTTGCTTCACCCTTAATCAATCCAAAACACACAGAGGGGAGCAATGTTTAAGAGTTTATATCAATTTTGACAAAGCATCAGATGATGTAGTTAGAGAAAAGACGGTGTAAAGAAAGGCCCAATAGTCAAAATGGGGCAAATTTGGCCCATAAGTTACATCCTTGGTAGAGACAAGCCCAACCCAAGATATATCAGGTTTAATATTGCTGTGCTTATTAATATAAATTTTACCATTACTTTAATATTTTAATACCATCTTAAAATTTCAATTAATCATGTTGGTAAACACTAAAATAGCTTCAAAAACATTTGTATTTATTTTAAGTCCCTGACATGACATAACTAATATGCCATGGTAAAACGTAATCCACATTATCAAAATTCAACAAAACTTTTTTCAAAATTTTGGGTCACTAATTTTCGATTGTCACAGGTGTCACGTTCTTGGTACCTTTCATCGACACAAACACAACCACCATAGAAATTCACATCGAAGCATGGCCCAGAAGGTATACCCTCATCCATTTGGGCCTCTTCCACCGATCCACCAAGTAGAGTCCGCACGTGTCAACCCATGAATATGAAAACGACACACACCTTTCACTTAAAAAATACACCAACACGTGCCCATGCACGTGGCAGATGCATCGTGAACTCGACATGGTACGTGTCAGGCTTCTAAGACCTCTTGACTAGATTTTTTATGCTTGGTTTTACGTATAAAATCACATGCTATCATGCTTCTTTCATCAACAACACCATCACACACAAACTCTTGAAATCAAAACCTATCCCAACAACAACAACAACCATGGCAAGTTATCAGAAGCACTACGATGATCAGGGTCGCAAGATCGATGAGTATGGAAACGTTGTGAGGGAAACTGATGAATACGGCAATCCCGTCAATGCTGCCAGTGTCACTTATGTTGCCACCACTGGAACTGGTGGTTTCGCTGGTGACACTGATAAGCAATATGATAGTTCGAATGTCTATGGTGTAGGCACCCGTAACCAACACAATCGAGACACTGATAGACAACATGGAACTACTGGTGGCTTTGCCAGTGACACTGGTAGGCATCACAACCCTACCGGTGGTTATGGCCAAGACTCTGGCAAGCACCACAACACTAGTGGTGACACCGGTACACACCATAACCCTACCTGTGCTTATGACACCGGTAGACAATATGGGACTAAGGGTGGTGTTACAGGAGAAACCGGTAGTTACAATACCGGCACCGGTGGCCCTTACTTTGGAACCAACACTGCTGACACTGGTACTGGTCCTAGAAGTGGAACCACCGGTGGCAGTGATTATGGATCAACTGGTGGCACTGGTTATGGAAGTGGAACTGGGTATGGTATCTACACCGGGGGAGCACACGCAGATGCAGGGCATGGGAATCAGTATCGTCAGCATGAGCAATCTCATGGTGATCAGGACAAGAAAGGGATAATGGACAAGATTAAAGAGAAGCTTCCTGGAGGACACAGTGACAACAAGTAGACACATCTTGTGCATGCATGCATATGTAGTAGATATATCATATATTGTTGTGTTTGAATAAATTTGCTGCATATATACGTACAGTACACTGTCTTGTCGTGTAAATGTGGTGGATATTGTATATGGTGATAGTATATGTAGGAGGAATAAAAGGTGCATGCATGTAAGAGCCTTATGGCTGAAAGAGAGAGCTAGATGTTGTGCCAGTCAGTGCATATGTAGAGCAGGGTGCTTTAGTTGTATGTTTTGAATTCTGAAATGAAGCAAGTTTTTGTTTGAATTCTGAATAACGAAGCAAGTTTTTGTTTATATCACGTTCAGTCATATGTTTTGAATTCTGATATGAAACAAGTTTTTGTTTATATCACCTTCATTAATATCAAGTTTTGATGTAAAAAGAGGGAAAAAATTTATTGAGGCAATAAAAGGAGGGAAAGTTTTTTTTTTATTTTTTATATAAAAAGTGATTTGGAAAATGTAACTTGTACCTACCCTCTTGTACAACTAATATAAATTTTTCTTTTTAATCATTTTATCTATATTGTGATATTATAATATTATTGTGAAGCTTAAAATATTTAAAATTAAAATTAGTAATATACAAAATGTGGTGCTGCTTATGTTTTCTTTATCCAGAAATTCTATATAAACAGACCAAAGTTGACAAATTGAATACATTTGTTATTTACTTATTAACTCAACAATTGCTATCAAATTCATGATACTCTTACATAATTGGATAAGTTAGTAAATTTATGGGGTTACAATAAAGAAATTACAATCAAACACAGAAATTCATTACACTCTTACATAAGTGGATAAGTTAGTAAATTTATGGGGTTACAATAAAGAAATTACAATCAAACACAGAAACATATGCTTATAACAAGTTAGTAGTTTACAAAATGCTTGATTAATTAGGAATATTTATAAATACTTAAAAAAAAAAAAAATTGGTCCAGTACATACATATTATTTGTTTCTCAAACCAGACATGTTTCTATTTGATTCCGGGTGGGTAGAAGAGTCCAATTATTGGTCATTGGTTTCTGGTCTTCCATTTCTTCATTGCTCTCGCTCAAGTCTTGTATGTCTAAAATCTCAACTCTCCGGTTAGTTTTTCTCTTTATCTTGATTGCAACATCTTGTGGGATGAACCTGCCACATACAACTACCCTTGTCTGCTTCTTCTCAAGAAGATGACTGTCCAACTCTAGCATAGTCAAAGAAATAAAGAGAGTACAATTTAACTCACATAACTATAGAAGCTATTGCATAAAAATTAAGAATGATCAATGGTGTCTAAAGTTACTTTTTTGTGAAATTTCAATACAAGTTTTTGAAGAAGGAAATATATTATTTTACTGTCTCAACAGAAATCCAAACATGAACTAACCTGGCATATCAAGAATGGCTCTCTTGACTTTTTTGTAACATCCATTGCAATCAATATTGATCCTCATGACCATGCAGAAGTACTGCAACCAAAATGAAACAAAAATGATTCAGATGGTATTTTAAGCATTTATAGCTTCAGAACTAGTTAGGTAACCAAAAGATGGTGATTAGTGCTTGCCTTCACTGTCATGAAACAAATAAAAGAGAAAGAGATACAGAGATAGTTACAGAGGAATTTGAAAATCCAGATAGTATGAAGGAGCTAGAAAAAGAAAAGTGAATCTTAAAAGGCATGCAACAACAGACCTCTGAGAACCAAAAAGGGCTTATAATGAGCTGGTTAGCATTTCCGTTAGATGACACGGATGCTCCTTTTAATTGCTGAATCTGATTCTTGTTGTGACTAGGTCTATCAAAGGAGGCAAATGTAGCTTACTTTGTCACATTATTCTTGACTTCTTTGTTCTCTTCTTGTGCATGCCACTACATAAACAAAGGAAGAGCATACTTTCTTTTATAAAAAAAACATAAGAACATTATGAAGTGATCTGCATGCAAATGTTTTAAAGAAAACACTTGCTTGTGCTATGTGAAATTATCATTATTTAACCAGGTCAATGGTCTATCTATCTTGTAACATTATTCTTAACCAGGTTTTGGTCAACAAGAGAACTTGTCTAACGATTATTTTAAAATTGACACTTACAGTGATTTTAATTGACTGATAATATAAAAAGTTTTAGATCCAAGAAAATTTGACTATTGTAAGTTCACCTAACACTTGAAGCTTTTAAATGAGTTAGTTTATGAGAGGAAGAAACAACAAATACATGTTAGATGGAACTCACACACAATGCATGGAACAACTCACAGAAAACTTATCATCTTATTATCTCTTTAGACACCTTGTTAAATATTTCTCTGTCAACACTAGCACACATAACATAATGGCTTCTCTGGATAATTTCTTTCGTGTCCCCAATTTGTGTCAGATTACTATTCTCTTGCTGTTTATTTCCAATCTTCGCAACATACTTTCACAAGATTCAAGCCCTTCCGTAGCCCAATGCACATCAAGTCTAATTCCCCTTATTTCTTGCACACCATTTGTGCAGGGTACTGCCCCTTCTCCAGGATCTCAATGCTGTGGCAACCTCAAGCAGATCTACAGTGAAGAGCCACACTGTCTCTGTCTCTTGCTCAATGGCACTAACTTCACTGCTCTCCATATCAACAGGACACTTGCTCAACAGTTACCACCTTTATGCAGCCTTCAATCTAATGACAGTATCTCCACCTGTTTAGGTTGCATAGATAATTACATTCATCTTATATCATATTTAGCATAAATAATTAACTGTATATTGTCTTGTGTTGATTTATCATATATATTTTTATTTAGTGGAACAAGTACACAAGCCTGCAACTGCTCCTCATGCTCAGATTTCCTTGGGCGCTAAAAACAATTCCACTGTTGTTGGTAAACATTTTTTTTAATTATTGTTATATTTTCACTCTTGTTTATCCCTTTCTCAACACACATTTTACATGTGCAGCTTCACCTGCATTTTCAGTACCACCAAGGTCTGGCGTGATGGGAATTGGGTTTGGAAGCAGCGAAGCCACCCTCTTTAAGACAATCAATAAATTAATTTTCTTTATTAATATCATATTTTTATTTTTTATGTTAATAATGTAATAATTTTAGTTGAAAGAATATAGTCAAATATTTTATATTAAATTTGCCATTATCAATAGGTATAAAATTCCTATCATTTATTGTTTAATCAGTGTTACTTGTACAAATCATATGTTTCATCAAATATAAAACTTTTAAATAATTTTTAAATTTATATATATAATCTATTTCAGATAGACACTAGTTGCTTACTAAAAATTAGACTAGAAAAAAATTGAATCACTTGTCTGCATTGATATTTAAAAATTTCTACTTCAGAAGAGGAGCAACTTCTGTTGGATTGGAATCAAATACATCAGAATCATATGTATCAGACTCCTCAAAAACATCACTGGACTCCGTCTTGGATTCTGCACTTGATTCTGTGCTAGACTCTCTGTTAGAGTCTGTACTGGTTTCCACACCTGATCTCACGCCATACTTTCTTTCCATCTCTTCCCTAACTTCTTTTGGTGGTTCATGAAATGTAAAGCAACCATACAGACACACAACTACCTGTGATCATTGTGAACATAAACATATATGAGATACTAACTATAATTATGGTCATATAGCCGTTTTATATTACAATTTGAAACTTTGATGGATCCGATGTTAGACTGAATAGACTTTCCAGACAATACATTATTCCTCATCATCACAACATTTCTGGTCCCGCTTAGATTACTGACCTTATTTTAAGAGAGAAGAGAGAAGACAACCAAGATTCTATAAGTTTGTAAATAAAGCAATTTTTGCTCTGTATGTGATTTACTTGATACGTGAGTTCACCCACAAAATATTAAGAGCCTCGTAGTCTCCTCTTAAACATACAGACCTCTAAACTAACATATACTGTTTTATATTCAGTAACTCTGCATAGCAAAATCCATGGGAGACAAACTCGATTCTGATGCATCAAAACTAAGGATAAAAAAAGCATCATTCTTTTAAAATTTAAAATTAAGAACAAAATCCCTTTTCCCACTACTACGTAATCAAAAGCATCTGCAACTTCATGCAACACAGGATTGTTCCAATTCGAACTTAATAATAAGTGGTCTAGAGTTCAATTCAGATAAACAAATCGCTAAATAATCATATTATGTTATATTATTCTATTCGAGCAAAATTGACCTCTAGAAACTATGAGATCCCTTAGAACAAAACATCTACAACTAAATTTTAATCAATTTCTACTTTGTAGAGAGAACCGTGACCACAACAATAACAAGAGCTAGGAGGGTGTTATAGAAACTTCTTGTACAAAAACAAGTTAATTTACGCCTAAGTTAACATACAGAAGCATTTTCATTTATATCAAAAACTTAATGAAGCAAAATCCATGAGAAACTCCACACTGATGCAACAAAACTCTGTGTAAACAACACCATCATTTTAAAAATCAAAAGATCCAATGACTCGTTTGATTTCTATACCTATATAATTTTTAAGCTTTAATTCTGTAGCTAGCTAGAAACTACTCACGTTAGCCCTTACGCACATTTTTAACTTGGTCTAATCAATTTTATTCCTTCAATATGTCTAGACAAAAAAAAATGAAACGAACAAATTGAATTAAACTAAGAAAGTAATTTTAATCTTTCTTTTTTATTCTCTTAGTAAGAGTGAAATCTTTTTCCCACCATCACATAAAGCATTTGCAACCTCAACAAACATGATATTATTTCAACTTAACAATTAATATAGAGTTTGAATCTGAACTATCTGACTATGTTAAATACTCAACTATAATTTCAAGAACAAACAACACCTTAAGGAAGAAGAAATGAAGTTCAATAGAGTGATTGGTTGTACCGCGACACCGAAGCCAATAATCCAGGAATACTTGATGAACGTGCCGAGCCAGTCCCACTGCGGTCCTTCCCAGAAATCGGGTTCCTCCCGGAGAAGGCCGGACATCTTCTTGTAGAGGGCAGCGATTTCCTCGTCCAGGGCCTCGTCGTCTTCGATCTCCTCCGTGGCTTGCGGTTCGGTTGCAGCGCTGAAAGGATGCGACTCGGAGGAGAACTTCTTCGCGCACACCACGTGGAGATGATTTCTTGGCGTTCGATTTGACGAAGGAATGAGACGGGTGTAGCGAGTGGTTGCGGTGGTGTTGCCGCAAGGGATTATAGCCGCGCCACTACCAACGGGCACGGTGAACGCCATTAGTGGATGAGAATGCTCGCAGTGGATATCGATATATATTATATCTATATCGATTGTGAGCAACTCAATTTTGTTGCACGAGCCTTCTTCTTTTTGTATTTTTTTTTTATGCTAAACTTCGCTTTACTCTTCAAATTAACTATTCTTAACAACTTTAAAATAGAGTATAAAAAAAGTGACTCAAGATTAACTGAATTGTTTAAATGAGTCTGAACGAAAGCTTGTACTTTGTTTATTCAAAACAAGAAAGGTTGAATTCGGCTTGTTTTACTAGTTTAAGAATTAGAAATTGTGAAAAAAGGATTAACTTTATTAATTTATTAGTTAATCAAATATTATAATACTAGTTAATAATTTACTAACAAAAAAAATAAACCGTGTTAACTCATTCAAAATATTATTCCAAAATAAATAAATAAAAGAAATGTTGAAATATATCCAAGAGCTCAAAATATACATACTAAATATATACAAGTTAGGTAAGCGAAATATTAAAAATAATAATAAAGGAAATATATATTCATATACTATATCTTATAAAATAAGACAAAATAATTATTATTATATAATTAGTTTTTTATATTATTATATTATTTATTATAACAGCTTAAGAAAATATATATATATATATATATATATATATATATTTAAGATGCATAAAATAATTTAAAATATAAATTTCTTTTACATAAAGAAATATATACATATTTGTCACTTCAAAATTAATCAAAATATAAATTTATATTACTTCTAACTTCAAACCTAATCACCCGTAAAATATATTATCGTGTAAAACAATTAAAAACATATATAAGACATGTATGTGTTATTGTGGAATCGAGAAATATGATCGATTGATAAATCGGTAAGATAGACAAAAGAAATCATTCGATGTCCAATTAGAGGTACGTAATACATAACATCGAGAGGCACAATCGAAAAGTGGGTGAATGATAACCAAATGCTCGTTGTCGAATAAAAAACTAAGAAACTAGAATCATATGATGTTAAGGTTAAACCCAAAGCAATGCAAAGTGTTCGATATCATCGAATACTAAGGGAACATGGATATCGAAACTTTGGATAAACCACAAAGAGAAGAATAAGTCAAACGCACGTATAGAAAGCAGTTCTGGGACCATGGAAGGAGTCGAGGATCGTGAGAACGTGAGAAACTGTAGAAAAAGAAACCGTCGTGCACGTAAAACGTGGTATCAGTCTTGTTAACCGCCCCTGGAAAGCTTGAGCTACACCCTATAAATAGAAGAAAAAAGGAAGAGAGGAGGGGCGAAATTGGCAGAGAACGGAATCGAGTAGTGAAAAGTCTACCGGAGAAACGACGAACACCATGAAGCTTCGGCAATCTGGATTTCCTGCTCACGGAGTACATTTATCGCTTTCTTTATTTTCCTTGGTAATTTATTTTCGAGCCATTTCAATTCAGCAATTTCATATTCTTGTAAATTACATTCAATGTCATTTCGATTTCCTGTTATTTACTTTTTGTGCAATCTTAATGGGTTTTTAGCAATTTACATTTCCCGCACATTTCGATTTCCTGTCCTTTATTTATCTTGCAAACTTGATTTCTTGCAAATTCGGGGTTTTCGCACTTTCTTGCAATTTAATATTCTCTTTTCTCGATTCGATACTTTACTGCTTTGTTTGAGTCGAGCATTTTAGACATAAAATATCAAAAATAGGATTTCTTGTTACTTATAGTTTTCGATTCTCATACACGTTTTCGATTGAAAATTGAATTGCTAGCCTAATGTAAAAGAGCTTACGTGGGAGGATTTCGATTAAGAACCAAAATACCCTTAGAATCGAAACCGATCGAAATTCCACCAGAAACAAATTGGCGCGCCAGGTAGGGGGTTTGTGTTGAAAAAACACAAAAGAGGTTAGTTCGAGAGTGTATGAGATTAAGAAGTGGGAGAGTTATAAGAATGAGTCAGACTTCATCAAGTAGTCAGAATAACAATGAGGGTCTAAGTGGTGTGCTCCCACCAAATATTGGAGGGCAAGGGCATAATGGGAGTATGCCTGTAGTGTCGACAACTGTGAGCACGTCGATACCAGCAAGTAATGAACAAAATCCAGGTCCATTGGCAAACACCCATGTAGGGTCTAGTATAGCAATATCAAATAATATGCAAACTATGGGAAACCCCATAACCACATATGCAGGGCCATATACTAGTGTAAGACCACCTGGTTTTCTATCCAATAACATGAATGGAGCTGGCACTTCATCGATACATAGAAATTCACGATTCAGCTTAGGTACGCCTCCAAACGCAGGTACATTTCAAACCCTAGGCATGCCACAAAACTTTGGAGTATCTACACATTTAGGGGCATCTCAAAATTCAGTGACATCACAAAATTCAGGGAATGGACCAAACTTAGGGATACAACAGACACCTCCAAATCTAAATCCTAGGGGGAATCTCGATCATGGGAGATATGCATTTGATAGGGACTATCATCGATCTAATTTCGAGAATATCGAAAATACTAATACTGGGATTTCCAGCAACTCCCTAGGAATACTTAGACAACAAATGGATGAGAGTAATTTTGAAATGGTGAATATGTTATCACAGCAGTTGACTACGGTCTTAAACCCATTAGTTCAAAATACTACTGCTAGTTTCGAGATATTAGCAGATCAAATGTCTCGAATTGGAGACGCATTGGCTGTACCTCGACAAACGAGGATGGAGAATCATGCCAATCAGAATATTAATCCTCCTTATTTATTAAGAAGGAATCGGAACGATGATCAATATCAGCAAATGGGGAACGGATATCAACATGTGAGGAATGATATTTATGGAAATCTGAACGAGGGATTTCAAAATATTCATAACCAGAATAATACGCAATATAATCATATGTTAGGACAAAGGATGAATTTCCAAGGGACGGATTTAAGACCACCCAATCAGACATATTTTGTGTCTCCTTTTCCAAATGCAATTCTTGAGACAGAATTGCCTCGAGGATACAAAGTACCCAAATTCACTAAATTTGCTGGAGAAGTTGGTGAATCAACTATCGAGCATGTAGCTCGATATCAGATAGAGTGTGGGGACTTAGCAATGAGTGAAGAGTTAAAAATGAAGTATTTCCCTAGTTCCTTGACTAAGAATGCTTTCACTTGGTTTACTTCATTGCCACCCAATTCGATATATAATTGGTTGCGGTTAGAAAGAAATTTCCATGAACAATTCTTTAGAGGAGAAACTCAAGTAAGTCTCATTGATTTGATGAACATAAAACGATATAATCATGAAAACATAGATGATTATCCGAATCGATTTAGACAAATGAAATCAAGATGTTTTACTCAAATTCCCGAATACGAATTAGTCGGGATGGCTTCGCGAGTTTAGAATTCTCGATTAGGAAAAAGTTAGTAAATTTGCCATTAAATGACATGGCTCAGCTTAGCTAATAAAGTGAGGAGAGTGGAACAAATCGAGTATGAGAAACAAAGGCACAAGAAATTTGAGAGACTCGTGAAAAAAGAAAGAATAGCCTATATAAATGATGTGTATGAAGTAGATCCCTCGACAGAAACTGATATCGAGGAAAATGTTGATGAGAAAGTGAATATAGCAGAGCTCAAAGTAGGAGCTCCATATACTTGTAAATTGTTGCAAAAGAATGAAGTGAAAGATAAAATGGCAAATCGAACTTATACTTTCGATGTAACAAAAGCAGATAAGATCTTCGACATTCTACTAAAAGATAAACAGATTAAGTTAAGCGAAGATCACAAACTGCCTTCTGCAGAACAAAGGGGTGGTCGCAAATATTGTAAATTTCATAATATTTATGGACACTGGACTAACAATTGTATACATTTCAGGAACACGATTCAAGATGCAATCGACCAAGGAAGACTGAAGTTTGGAGAGACAGCAATGAAAGTGGACACGAGCCCGTTCGAAGTCCAAGTGGGATATATCGAATCCCAAACTGAGATGAAGGATGACATTAGACTGATAAATACCACCTTCATAGGCATGGTCGATGTTACTGAAGACATTGATCCCAAGCATATCAAAATGGACGTATCGGAGGAAGATATGGAGTTCGACTTGAGCGAATTCGAAAAAGAATTTGAGAAAGAGATATACCCTCGAGCAGGAGACTCTCTCGTTGAATTTTTGAATAGGAAGAAAGAGAAAGACGAAGACGTGTCGCTATGCCCACGGTGCAGTGCGGTGTTCGATAAATCGGCTGCCAAAGCTTTCAAAATTGAACAAACAAAGAAGATCGAGAGTCAAAACAAAAGGAAAAATGATAAAGTGGAGCAAACGACCCGACCAACTATCAAAGAAAGTCAACAGAAATCTGTTGGTTCTGGTGTTAGCGGGAATCAAAGGCAATGGGTTAGAAGAGAGATGTATCCTTCTCGAGGAGGAAGAGGAAGACTTCAAAGTAGTGATGTCTTTGAGAGACTATCATACGATGAAGGATCAAACACTGGATTCCCAACATTCCCAAGAAGATTCCGAGGAAGGCCTTGGAGAAGAGGTGGAAGGATCCCTTACTGGAGTAATTATAGAAACTTTGAAGAGAATATTGTACCTATGGAAAGCCAATATTCAAGGGAATTCTTCGATGATAAGAATGAAGGCAACTGGAACGAACATCAAATCGGAGTGATATCGATATTACCCGCGGAATATGTCAACGAATACAAGGAATATCAAGAACAGAGTGATGTTAATCGAGAAGATGACTTCTATTCAGAAAACATAAGGCCAAAGGTGACATGGGTAACTCAGGCATCGTGCGAAATACCTCATAGAGATGCTGCCTTCATCGACCCTCCATCTGAAGAAATGAGGTTCCACTTGAAACCTTTACTGTTAAACATCGAGATCCAAGGACAAATGGTGAACAAGGTCCTTATCGATGGTGGCGCAGCAGTAAACATATTGCCAATCTCCATGCTGAAGAGGTTTGGCATCGAGCTTAAA